GAGCAAATGTACTTTTCTAACTTTGAAGCATCACCAATTATACTTTTAGAAAGGACGGTACAGGACCAGCAGGTGGTGTGGTGGTTAAGGTGCTGAGCTCCCACATGGCTTGAAAATCACGCTGGGCATCTGTGCCTGTGCCCCAAATCTCGAGAGGAGAATGGAGAAAGGCATGAGCATCCTCCATGGGGGAGGGGGGGCAATTTCTTACTTTCCCTCTCTCTGTCCTTCTCTGGCACACACGCCCTTGACAAAAAAAAAAAAAAAAAAAAAAAAACTTAAAAAAAAAGGGAAGAAAGACAAGAAAGACAAAGGAAAAAAAAGGAAATGACAGTATATACCAGATATTTATGTATTACATTTAAAAACGTGTTTATATTCATTTATGACATTATAAACAGTTCTACAGACCCAGTTAATACAAAGGAGAAAATAATAGTTTCTGAGTGAGACACTTGAATTATTAGTGATCATAGAGAAGACATCTTTGATATTTGTTGAATGTCTCTGTATATGCAAAGCTCTAAGAGTCTTGTCTGGAAATCTTTAATAAAGAGATCAGAAAGTTCTTTGTCATCACCTGAATGAACTTATAAATTTAATAAGTGTTTATTTTAGCTAGGTACTGTTTTAGACATTGAAAATCCATCAGTGGGGACCAGCAGTTAGCATAATGGCTATGTCGCTGGACTCCCACGTAGTCTACTGTGGTTTGCATCCCGGACCCAGTGGCTTAAAACTCAGGCCAGGTGTGTGTGTGTGCATGCCCAAGATCCAGAGAGGAGACTGGAGGAGAAGGGATTGCAGCGTGGCCATCCCCCCTGGGGGTGATTTCTCATTTTCTGTCTCTCTATCTCTCTCTGTCTGTCTGGCGAGAGCATGCACCCTATAGCAAAAACCTCTCCAAAAAAAAAAAACAAAAGAAAAGAAAAGAAAGAAAATCCATCAGTGAACAAAACAAATTTTTGCTCATTAAGAGTTTACTATCAGGGAGCAGCAGATGGCATAAGGGTTACATCGCTGAACTCCCACATAGCTAACCGTAGTCCTGCACCTGGAGGTTTAAAACTCAATCTGGGCACATGTGTGCGCATGCCCAAAATACAGAGAGAATGGAGAAGGGATTGCGGCATGGCCATCCCCTCCTCCCACCACCCCCCAGGGTGATTTTTCGCTTTCTGTCTTCTCTGGCAATTGCACATGCCCTATAGCAAAAATCTCTCTCTAAAAAAAGTTTACTATTTCAGACCAAACAGATGCGTAGGGATTAAGGCACTGCACTTCCACATGGCCAACTGCTGTTCACGTCCTGGACCTGGTGGTTTCAAACTCAAACCAGGCATGTGTGAGTGCATGCCCCAAGTCCCTAGAGGACAATGGAGAAGAGGTTGTAGCATAGCCATAACACCTGGAAAGAGAAGTGATTTCTCACATTGTCTGTGTCTCTCCAGTTAGCACAAGTGCCCTATAACATCTCTCTCAAAAAAAAAAAAAAAACCCACAAATTTTACTATTTTGTATTTCAAATGACAATCCTACTTTCATGGGTGTTCATGTACTTGAAATAGAAATAGGAACTAAGGCATAAGGAAGTTTAATCCAGTCCCTCAGAGATTAGGTCATCTAATCCCTGGGTTTATCATTTTCTAAAAAAAATTATTTCCTGCCACCTACATGAGCCCAGAATGCACCACATACTTAATGCAGTAAATGTCTTTTCACTACCTTATTTAGTGCATCTTTCAGCTCCTTGTTTCTCATGCTGTAGATCAAGGGATTCAAGAAAGGGGTGACAAAGGTGTAGACCACAGACACCACGCGGCCCATTTCCGGGTTGTAGCTGGAGCTGGGGCGTAAGTAGATAAGGCTACAGCAGCCATATTGGAGGAGAACCACCGTCACATGAGAAGAGCAGGTGGAGAAGGCTTTGTGCCGTCCCTCTGCTGAGCGGATCTTCAAAATGGCAGCCACAATGAAGATGTAGGAGATGGAGATCAGGGAAAAGGGGATGGTAAGGCTGATGACACTGATGATGAAAAGCATAGCCTCGGGTGTTTGAGTATCTCCACAAGCCAACCGCAAGATTGGGAGCACATCACAGTAGAAGTGAGTGATTATACTGTGGCCACAAAATGGCAGATGGAAAATGAGAACTGTCAGTTGTAAGGCTTGAATAAAACCTAGGACCAGGGCTCCCGCAGACAGCTGGGCACACAGCTGCCATCTCATGATGAGGGTGTAACGCAAGGGATCCCGGATTGCTACAAACCGATCATAAGCCATGATCCCCAAGAGGATACAGTCAGCACTGCCCAGAAAGATAAAGAAGAACATCTGTGTGCCACACCCAGTGAAAGAGATGGGTATTCTCCCCATGGTCAGGAGGTTGACCAAAGCCAGGGGAGCAACAGTAGAAGAGTAAAAGATCTCCAGAAATGCCAGATTGGCCAGAAAGAAGTACATGGGGGTGTGGAGTGAATGCTCAGCCCAGACAGTGAGAAAGATGGTGGCATTACCAACGAGACTGCCAATGTACAGTAGCAGGAAAATCACAAATATAAATATCTGTACCTCCAGGATGGGTGAAAATGGGTAAAAATGGAACTGGATCTCTGCAGTTTGGTTTTCATCCCCCATAAAAGTGGGACATTGGATTTTCTAGAGCAAAAGAAAAATAATGTTTAACAATGTGCTATGTCTTAGGATAAGAGATTATATTTTATCACCTATAGATTTTTTTTTTGAACAGAATTACCATTGGGCCCAGCAGTTGGCGTGATGTATAAGGATGTTGCATTCCCACATGGCCAACCGAGGTTCTAGTCCTGAATCTGGCAGATTGCTTTCTTGCTTTCCCTTTCTCTCTCTCTCTCTGGTCAAATTAAAAGATAATAATAAAAAATGGAATTAAATAATTATTAAAAAGTATTACTTATTTTTATTTGTCATTCTTCTTCTTATTATTATTAATGTGCTACAGGGCACATACACACACTCAGCAAAGACAGAGAAAGACAGGAAAAGTGAAAAACCAAGCCACCAGGTCCAGGACTTGAGCTGTGGTTGACCAATCGGAGCCCAGCACCTTAACCGCCATACCACCTACTAGCTCCTTCGCCTATAGTTTTAATAGTTATGAAGATCAGTTTATGTTGTGCAGGCCACTATTCTTGTATGTCATCTCACATTTGCAAGAGAGTGCCTGAGGTTAAGCCTATTGCCATGAAAAAAAAAAAAAAAGAAGTTAAATTGACCCGACCAATGTGGTATTTGAGCTCTGAATTTTGACTTCACTTTTTCTTTTCAAAAACTAGCTAAACTAATAACCCTTGAGTTTATACACTGCTTAGACATTGGATTTTCTAGGATAAAAGAAAAAAAAATGTTAGGAAAGAATATTCTATGTCTTATATAAAAAAGAATATATTTTATCAGTTGCATTTTTTTTAAAGAATTACTTATTTTAATTTTAATTTATTATTATCATTATCATTATTAGTTTGTTTAGGGCACATGCACTCACCAGAGAGACAGAGAGAGAAAGTGAAAAAGCAAGCCACCAGGTCTGGGACTTGTACTGTAGTTGACCATGTCGGAGTCCAACATCTTAACCATCATGCCACCTACTGGCCCATCATCTATAGTTTTAATAATTATGAAGATGAATTTATGTTGTGCAGGCCACTATTCTCTATTCTTGCATGTCTCACAGTTTAAAGAGAGTAGCTGAGATTAAGCCTATCACCACAACAAAAAAGCCAAGCTGAACGATCCATGTGTTATTTGAGCTCAGAACTTTGACTTCAATTTTTCTTTGCAAAAACCAGCTGACCTGATAATCCTTAAATTTATACGTTGCTTAGCAATAATCTACTAGTCATCAAATGTGAAGTTGTAATGTTTCTGATTCTATGACCTACAATAAACATTGCGGTCATATAGGTACTTAAAGGGAACTAAATGTTTTTTCTGCATGATTATCCTAGAGGGAAGGGGACTCACTTGTGCTAATTCAGCAGCACTAAGCATGATGACTTCATCGCTGTCTTGTGGTTCTGATTCAGCTTGACGTCCTACAGTACGTTAGTGCGTCGTTGTAGCCACAACACCCCTATACCTTTAATAAACTGTCTCTGCTTATAACCAAGAGTCGAGCAATGTCCGGGTAGGCACTGTAGCATAGTGCTGAAATACTATGCAGACGCAGCTCAATCTCAATGGCCAACCGGGGTCTAATAATATCCCCAGGTGGGAACACACTAGGCACAGGATCTGATGAGATGGAGACGTGGAGGACGAAGGATTGGGGTGTGACCATGACCCACCGAAGAGTACTTTCTCCTTCTCTGTGTCTCTCACATGTCATGTGCCCTTTGGCGTACAAACGAGAGCGAACGAGAGCGAGAGAGAGAGAGAGAGATAGAAATGTACAGCAGTTTGCCCAACTGCAATACAGGCTTTTAGCTTTACAGATATTTCTTTCAGTTGCTTCTGGACAGTTAACATGTTCTTGTATATGGTAGAATAGAAGTATAAATCTTTCTAAAGCAGACTTTTATTCTAATTTTATGATAATTTGATATATGTCTATTCTTCATGATTATACAATTTCCTACACGATAAGGACTATAACTTATTCCTTATTCTCTAATGCCTAGTGTGGTGACCAATAATGTGTTGAATGAATGAATATATGAATGTATCTCACTTTTAATTTTTGGAGAGTTTTATGCTATAGTGCGCATGTCTTCACCATTAAGACAGAGAGAGACAGAGAGACAGTGAGAAATCATCCCCCAGGGGGGATGGCCATGTTGCAATCCCTTCTTCTCCTTTCTCCTCTCGGGATCTTGGGCACACTTGCACACACACCCGATGTGAGTTTAAGCCACCGGGTCCGGGACTTGAATCGTGGTCAACTACATGGGAGTCCAGTGACATAGCCATTACGCTAACTGCTGGTCCCATGAATGTCTCTTTCACAGCCAGGAGAAATTTTTAGTTAGGCAGAGCACATGGTTTTGTAAAGGGTGGCTTAAGGGGTCATGGAAGGAAACCATTCCTTTTACTGGCCTGATAAGCACCATTCCTTTGCATTTAGAATACATGCTCTGGGAGTCAGCAGGTGGCGTGGTGGTTAAGGTGGCTGGATTCCCACATGGCTGACTGTGGGATGAGTCCCTGACCGAGTGGCTTGAAAATCATGCCCGGAGTGTGCATGTGTATCTGAAATCCTGAGAGGACAACAGAGGAGAAGATATTGTGATGTGCCATCCCACTGTAGGTGATTTCTCACTTTGTCTCTTTCTTTCTCTCCCTCTTTCTCTCTCCCTCTCTCTCTCCTCACTGGCAAGTGCACACACTATATGGCAAAAACCTTAAAAAAAAAAAAAAAAGAAAAAAGGACTATATGGTCTAGCTCAGCGGCTTGGTGGTTAAGGCAGATGGATTCTACATGGTTTACTGTGTGGTTCAAATCCTGGACCCAGCAGCTTTAGAAATAAGTTAGCTGTGTGTGTGTGTGTGTGTGTGTGTGTGTGTGTGTGTGTGTATGCCCAAAATCGCAAAAGGAGGGAGACTTTGAGGAGAAGAGATTGTAGTGAGACCATGACCAGAAACGAGTGCTTTATACTCTCCCTCTCTCTATCTCTCTCTGACAAGTACACATACCTACTAGCAGGAATTAAAAAAAAGAAAAGAAAACTTGGTCCCAAAAGTTTGTTCATCTTATGCTTAGTTTGATGTAATTCATTCCGTATTCAAATCTTGAAGTCCTTCCCCATTCCAGGAAAATATTCTCTCTCCATTGCCCCTGAATCACTGCTCGAAGATCAATCTTTTCTGCATTTCAATCTGAGCACTGCTCTGCCTGAGTCCTCACCACTGAACACCAAATGTAGATTTTTCTCTGAACAATTGAGGATAGATAGGGCTTGCATAGATGCTCAAAGAGAACCTAGAGAATATAAAATAGAGTCTTTTCATAGCTGCTGTTGTACTGCTAAATATTCCATTTTCCCATTAATCACCATGCAGGAAGTTGCCATATCTCATGTGTTTTGTTAATTACTGCTTGGATCTGGGTCAGTTTTATTGTTAGGGGAGGGAATTAGATTTTTTACCTTTTTAATAGGATTTGAATAGAAGGAAAGACCCTCATTCAAAATGAATATATTTATTTTCCATCGTAAAATCAAAATATACCCATGTAAGATGAAAATGTACCCAGATAAAATGAATACATGTCTCTCTAAAATGGAAATTTGAGCTAAGATTGGTGAAGATGAGGTTATAAATTGAAAAGCTCACGTAATTCTATTAAACCTGTCAATAGCATTTCACCTGAAGTGACTTGCCAGAACCAATTCATTTGCCGTTTACACCCTGGTAAGGGGGAAACCCTTAGAGTGCTATCCATGTGGGAAGAGAGAGCGTCATGACCTGGGCATGGACCTTGGAAAGTGACCAGATGCCCAACACGTTTCTATTTAAAACAAAGGCTGGTTCTTTTTGGTTCACAACATTGGCAGTAAGTCCAGTAGGATTAAGAACATAAGCAGAGACCAGCAGATGGCATAATGGTTTTGTCATTGGACTCCCATGTAGTCAACCACGGTTCAAGTCCCAGACCTGGTAGCTTAAACTCACGCTGGGCCCGTGTGCGTGCGTGCCCAAGATCCCTAGAGGTGAATAGAGGACAAGGGATTATGGCATGAGCATCTCCCCTGGGGGGTGATTTCTTGCTTCCTGTCTCCCTGTCTCTCTCTGTCTTTCTGGCAAGTGCATGCGCCCTATAGCAAAAACCTCTCCAAACAAACAAAACATCATGCTGGTGCATGTGTGTGCATGCCCAAAATACCTACGGAAGAATGGAGAGGGGATTGTGCATGGCCTTCCCTCCCTCACTTTCTGTCTCTTTGTCTGTATTTTTGGAGAGTACATATGCCCTATAGGGTAAAAAAAAAAAAATCTCTTACAAAAAAAAGAAAAAAAGAACATGAGCAATGAGGTAGATCCATCCTGAGACCATCACCCAGCTCTGGTATTTATCCTATGTGATTCTAGCTATTTAATCTCTAAGATCTCTTGTTTTCTTTGGTCTTCAAAGTGCAAATAACATCTAGCCTCACAGGTATAATGATTAGATAAGGTAATGTCTATAAAATGGTTTAAATAGTGTCTACTGTTGATATCTGTTCATTAAAGACTAGTTTTTTTTGTTTGTTTGTTTTTTTGAGAGGTTTTTGCTATAGGGTGCGTGCGCTCGCCAGACAGACAGAGAGAGAGACAGAGAGACAGAAAGTGAGAAATCACCCCCCAAGGGGGATGGCCACACCGAAATCCCTTCTCCTCCATTCTCCTCTCGGGATCCCAGGCACGCACGCACATGTGCCCAGCATGAGTTTTAAGTCACCAGGTCCAGAATGCCAACCGTGGTCGACTACATGGGAGTCCAGTGACATAGCCATTGTTGTGTTCACTGTTGTGCCCAAAGACTAGTTTTTTTTTTTTTTTTTTTTTTAACCATGATTGTTAGTTTTTAAAAAGCTGTACCAGGAGAGCAGCATATGGCATAATAGTTGCGTTGCTGGATTCCTATGTAGTCTATTACAGTTCAATTCCTGGACCTGGTGGCTTA